CCGCCATGCGCCCGATCGGCTGACGCTGGACGAGGCCGCGGATCGCCGGCATCGTCGCCGGCGTGGAAGCGGTGGCGAGCCTTCCCGATCCGGTGGGCGAGCGGATCGACGAACGCACGCGGCCTATCGGCCTTCACCTTCGCGCGCGTCCGCGTGCCGGTGGGGGTGATCGGCATCGTTCTGCGAGAGTCGCCCCAATGTCACGGTCGATGCCGCCGCGCTCTGTGCGATGGCGGGTAACGCTGCGATCCTGCGGGGCGGGTCGAGGCGGTGCACAGCAACCGCGCGCTCCATGCCGCCTTTGCCCGGGGCTGGCGGCGGCGGGCGGTCCGGCGGATGCCGTGCAACTGGTCCCCACCACCGACCGTGCGGCGGTGGGCGCGATGCTGGCGGCCAGCGGGCTGATCGACCTACTGATCCCGCGCGGAGGCAGAGCACGGGTCGCGGGGTCCGTGCCGAGGCGAAGGTGCCTGTCCTCGCGCATCTCGATGGCATCAACCATGTCTATGTCGATGGCTCGGCGGATGCCATGGCGGAGCGGGTGGTGCGCGACGCCAGATGCGGCGCACCGGCATTTGCGGTGCGATGGAGACGTTGCTGATCGATCGCGCTTACGCCATGCCGCCGCGCTGATCGCGACGCTGGTGGATGCTGGATGCACGGTGCGCGGGGATGATGGGTCCGTGAGATTGTCCCCGGCCCGAAGCCGCGACGCCCGAGGACTGGGATACCGAATATCTCGATGCGATCGCCAGCGTCGCGCTGGTTGATGGCGTGAGGCCGCGATGGCGCATATCGTCGCACATGGATCGCACCATACCGATGCGATCCTCGCCGAGGACGAAGCGGTCGCCGAACGCTTCCGCCGAAGTCGACAGTGATCGTGTTGTGGAACGCCTCCACCCAGTTCGCCGATGGCGGCGAATTCCGGGTTGGGGGCCGAGATCGGCATCGCCACCGGGCGCCTGCATGCGCGCGGGCCGTCGCGCTGGAGGGGCTGACGACCTACAAATGGATCGGCGCGGCACGGGCCAGATCTGCGCGCAAGCTCAGGGATGAAGATCGGCCTGCTCGGCGGGTCGTTCAATCCCGCCCATCGCGGCCACCGCCGCATCACGCTGGACGCGATCCGCGCGCTCGACCTCGACGAAGTCTGGGGGCTGGTGTCGCCCGGAAACCTGTTGAAGGACGGGGCCAGCGACATGGCCCCTTTGCCCCGGCGGCTCGCCTCGGCGGATCAGATGGCGCGGCGTGCGCCGATCCGGGCGAGTGCGATCGAGCGGGAACTGCATACCCGCTACACGCTCGACACCGTGCGCGCGATCATCCGGCGCTATCCCGGCCACCGGTTCATCTGGTTGATGGGGGAGGATAATCTGAGCAATTTATCGCTGGCGCGGATGGCGATCGATTGCGCGCGCGATCCCGATTGCGGTTATCGGCCGTCCGGGGTACAATGCTGCCGCCCACGCGACACCCGCGCTGGGCTGGTTCAGACGTTTCCAGAGGCGTCCGGGCAGCGAAGAACTGGACGATGGAGTTTGCCGGCCTTCGTGCTGTTGCGCTTCCGCCCCGACCCGACTTCCGCCACGGGCCTTCGGGCCCGCGATCCGGACTGGTTTCCGGCATATGGGCCGAAACGTCCCCTGAACAGGAGCTCACTTGGCCACTTCCCCGCAATCGCCGCGTCCGTCCGATCCTGGTTGAGGTGGAGGCGCTGCACCCTCATTCTCGCCCTCGCTCGACGACGACCGTGCGGTGGAGACGATCTCGATCCCTGCTCGCGGGCAAATCGTCGATTGCCGATTTTATGGTGATCGCCAGCGGTCGTCTGACCCGGCAGGTCGCGTCCATGGCGATGAAGCTCGCTGAGAAGATCAAGGCGGAGTTCGGCCGCTCGGTGCGGATCGAAGGTCTGCCGACCGCCGACTGGGTGCTGATCGACGCGGGCGACGTAATTGTCCATCTGTTCTGGCCCGAGGTGCGCACCTTCTACAATCTGGAGCGCATGTGGGCGTTCGGCGATGCGCCGACGCCGCCCGCGAGTCCCGCCGACCGCAACCCCTGATCCGCTGAAAGCCCGCCCGTGCTGCTGCATATCGTCGCGCGGGCGAATCGGCCGTTCGCCAGAGGCCGAGCTGGTCGACCGCTATATCAAGCGCATCGGCTGGCCGACCTGGTGACCGAACACTGACTGATACCGGCGGCAAGGTGCCGCCGCTGGAAGGGCAGGTGCGCCCTGTCCTGATGGACGAAAAGGGCGCGAGAATCTCTCCTCGATGGATTTTGCGCGTCGGCACAAACGCTGGCGCGATGACGTGTGCGAATGCCGCTTCATGATCGGCGCGGCGGACGGGTTCGAGGACGCCGACCGGGCGCGGGCCGACCTGCTGATTTCGCATGGCAGGGCGACTCGCCCCATATGATGGCGCGCGCGATGCTGGCCGAGCAACTGTTTCGCGCGACGAGCATCCTCGCCAACCACCCCTATCACCGCGAGGGATGACGCGCGCGTGCGGCGGCGGCTCGTGGGGTTGAGCGGATTGCTGCTGCTGGGGGCGACCGACATCGCCGCGACCAGCGGCGGCTGGCCGAGGCACGGGCGGGGGGCGGCGACGGCGCAGGCCCGCGCGGGGTCTGGAACAGCGGGCTGGGGCCGAGCGATGCCGCCCGCCGCCGCCGAGGCCAAGGCGCGCGCCATGGCTGCACGCGTGGCCGCGACCGGAGGCGGAGGTGCGCGCAGCCCGCGCCCGCGTCGCGCTGGTTGCCGGATTGCCTGAACGCCAGCGCGATCGGCTGGCGCAGGAGCAGGCGCCGCTCGCGCATCTACTGGCAGCGATGCGGGATGGCGGCGCGGCCCCCCCATCGCGGCGGTGGCGCAGCCGGGAACGGTCGCCGACGGGCGCATGTCCGCGCGGTCTTTTCGACCATCGCTCCCGTCATTGCCGAGCGTTCGGCCAGTATATGGCGTGAACTGGCCGCCACCCCCGGGTCCAGTGCGCAGCCGTGGCGGCGCAGGCGCTGTCCGCCACCTCCGCCAAGCTGGAGCCAGCGTCAGACGCTCGCCCGGCTGGAGGTTCTGCATCGCGGCCGGGCCGATCAGCTGGGACAGAGTGCGATCGACAAGTCCAACCGCGCGCTCGCGCTGGGCGAGGCGGCACGCGATATATCGTCGACCGGATGGCCGAGCGAGGCACGGCGCAGGCGACGGCCGGCGAACTGGTCCGGGCTGGCGGGGCCAATAGCGCGGCCGCTGGCCCCGGGCGTGAAGGGGCCGGAGATCGCGGCCGGCACCTATCGTCTGCCGTGCGGGCCGCGTGGCGGGCGGTTTTGGTGAGATTTCGGATGCCGGTGCGGGCGCGGGCATCACCGCAACCGCGCCATCGGCGACGGTGGTAGCGCCGCGGCCGGGACGGTCCGCTATGCCGCCCGTTCCGGGGCTATGGCGGGATCGTCATCCTCGACCATGGCGAGGGCTGGACCAGCCTTGCATCTGGGCTGGGCGGCATCGCCGTGCACTCGGGGAGCGGGTCGAAACCGGCGCGGTGCCAGGTCGCGCCGGCGGTGGTCGGGGGCGGCGCCGCGCCGCGCGTCACGGTGGAGCCGCGCCGCGATGGCCGTCCGATGGACATTGCCGCGCCGCTGGGGTGAGGGGGTGTGGCTTGGCGTCGCTCGGCGCGAATGATTGTGAGGATCGGGCCGAAAGCGCAGATGGACGCACGCCCCACATCCGTTCAGCCTGAGCGTAGTCGAAGACTAAGGGAACCGCACCCACCCGCTCAGCCCCGTTCAGCACGGTTGCGCTGATTGCAGCCGGCTTCCGGTTCCAAAGGCCGCCATATTCCCCGGTCCGGGACCTCGATGCCCGTCCGCTTGTAAACGTCCGTTTCCTGACCGTTACTGCGATCGTCGGCGCGCTTGCCATGGTGCCGATCACGACCTCCGCGATGGCCGCCGTCGACAGCTCCACCGTGCGCCAGTTCGATCGCTTTCGACGTCTATAACCGGATCAAGGCCGATTATGTCGATAAGGTCGATGACGACACGCTGATCAAAGGCGCGATCGAGGATGCTCGCTGCGCTCGATCCGGCATAGCAGCTATGTCGACGCGCTCGACTTCGACAACCTCAGATTCAGACCGAGGGCAATTGGCGGCACAGGCCTGACCGTCTCGATGGAGGATGGCGCGATCAAGGTCATCGCGCCGCAGGAGGATACGCCAGCGGCCCGCGCCGGCGTGAAGTCGGGCGATTACATCACCCATATCGACGGCAAGCTGATCTACGGCCAGTCGCTCGACGAGGCGATCGGCCAGATGCGCGGCAAGCCCGGCACCAAGATCCGCCTGACGCTCGTCCGCCCCGGTCGCGACAAGCCGGATCGAACGACTCCCTGACCCGCAAGGTCATCGTCCAGCGCCCAGTGAAGTGGAGGTGAAGGGCGATGTCGGCTATATCAACATCAACACCTTCTCCGAAAATACCGGCGCCGACACGCGCAGGGCGATCATGGCGATCGACAAGACGCTGGCACCGGCCGCTTGGCTATCGTCGATCTGCGTGACAATGGCGGCGGGTTGCTGACCCGGGCGATCGCGGTCAGCGACGCCTTCTCGATCACGGCGAGATCGTCGCAGCGGTCGCGAGAAGTCGGACATCGAGCGCTATTACGCCAAGCCCGGCGACGATGCGCACGGCCTGCCCATCATCGTGCTGACCAACTCCGGCACCGCCTCCGCCTCGGAGATTGTCGCGGGCGCGCTGCGGATCATCACCGCGCGATCGTCGCGGGTGAGCGCAGCTTCGGCAAGGGCTCGGTGCAGACGCTGCTGCCGCTTGGCTCGAAACCGCGCTGCGCCTGACCACCGCGCGCTACTATACCCCTCGGGCCGGTCGGTGCAGGAGGGCGGATCGAGCGACATCAAGGTGCCGCAGATTTCCGATCCCGATTATAAGACGCGCCCTGCCCTTCCGCGAGGCCGATCTGCGCCGCCACCTGATCAACGAGGTGAAGGCCGACAACAAAAATCCGGAAGAGGATAACAGGACGATCCGCGCTCGCCGCCACGCCCGAGGCGCTGAAGAAGGGGTCGAGGACTGGCTTTATTATGCGCGCTGAAGACCATCGCCCGCTTGGGCCCCTGCCCAGTCGCCGCCGCGACCAAGCCGCCGGTGAAGTGACGATGGCCGTGCCCCGCACCCGCAACGAATGCATGGCGAACTGACGCCTTGCTGCTGCCCGCCGCGCCGCTGCTGGCCGGTGCCTCGGTAGTCAACTGATCGGCGGACTGTATCCGTGCGAGATGCCATTGGCAGCGCTGGCCGTATTATGCCGCACTGGTGCCCGCGCCTCGCCTTCTTCGTGCCGCAGCGGAGCATTCGCGGATCGCTTGTCATCCTTGCCGCGTTGTTGATTGCAGTGTCGGGGGGCGATTGGGCGCATGCCGGGGTCGAATATGGCTGGTGGCAGGGCTTCACCGCCTGCACCTCGACCGTGGATTTGACGGGGATTGAGCGCGACCGACCGGCTGAACGCCATCATGAAGGCGCCGGTCATCCGCTGCGACGTGGCGCAATGGACGCTGGGCGGCATTTCGCTGGCCGGGTTCAACGCGATCTTCTCGCTGGGCGGTGCGGTGGCGATCCTGTTATTGATGAGAAGGCGCGATGAGCCAGCTTCGCTGGATGCCGGGCGACCGGCGCGAACCGATGAAGGCGATGGTCCGGGTGGACCAAAGCCGGGGAATATGGCGCGACCCGCATCTATGCCGGGCAGCTCGCGGTGCTGGGTGACCGGCACCGCCTCGCGTGCGATCCATCACATGGCAGAGCAGGAAGAACGCCACCGCGCCTTTTCGATCGGATGATCGCCGAGCGCCGCGTGCGGCCGACGCTGTTCCAGCCCTTTTGGGACAAGGCGGCTTCGCATTGGCGCCATCACCGCGGCGATCAGTCCCAAAACGGCGATGGCCTGCACTGCGGCGGTCGAGACCGAGATCGACAAACATTATCAGGCACAGCTTGACGAGCTGGGCGACAGCGATCCCGAATTGTCGGGAGGCGATCGCCGATTTCCGTGCCGAGGAACTGGAGCATCGCGACCATGCGCTGGGCGCGGGCGCGGAGGAGGCGATCGCCCATCCGCTGCTATACGGCATGATCCGGGCAAGGCAAACTCGCCATCGCTGCGGCCAAGCGTATCTGAGCCGGACCAACGGGAGAGAGGATGATGAACCGGACCCGGGCTGCAGTCCTGCTGGCCACCACCATGACCGGCACCGCGACGGCGCAGCAGATCGCCGCCCCGCGCGATCAAGCCTGCCGATCGGAGACCCGGGCGAGGTATCGCGTAATGCGCCGGTCAATGGCGTGCTGACCCTGTTCGGCAATGAGCGCCGCCCGACCGACAATAACGGCAATGAGATCGTCGTCTGCGTCCGGCGCGGGGGCGAGGAACAGTTCCGCGTGCCTATGGGGAACTGCGCGCGAGTTCGGTGACGCCCGGAAAATGAAAGCTGGGCGTGTGCGCCACGGGTACGGTGAACGAGGGCGTGGGCGTCAACAGCATACCGGAAGCTGCTCGGCGGTCGGCGGCGGCGCCACCGGCTGTTTCGCCCAGCGCGTCCGCGAGAACCGCGGCCAATGCCGATCGCCGGCGGCAGGAGGAAGCGGGCAACCGCTGATCGCGTTACGGTTTCCTTCGGGGCGGCGTATTGGCTCGCTGACCGAGACACCCCTCCGTCGAGCTCCTGTGGCCTGCCATTCTTACAGGGAGGATGAACATCTCTCCTCCGTTCAGCCTGAGCGAAGTCGAAGGCCACGGAGCGCACTGACCGATGCGCCCGGCGGCAAGGCCGACGGCATATCGGCATCAGGCGAGGACAGGGCATAGGCTTCGACTTCGCTCAGCGTGAACGGGTTTGATGCCCGGGCGAGAGCCGAGCGGAAGCTGTAGAATCCACGCCGCCACCGCTTCCACCCGCCGTGCCTGCGCCATCCGGTTCATGGCGATCGTGCGCGGCGTCATGCGGCGTCATCCCCTCACGCGCCGCCAGCGCGAGCGTGGTCTTCAGCCGCTGTCCCACATTCGTCACCCGCTGCCGCACCTCGGATGCGTTCCAGCCGAGATATTCGCCCGCGACATTGATGATCCGCCGGCATTGACCAGAAATCCGGCGCATAAAGCGCGTCACGTTCCGCCGTGCGGACGGGCCATGTCATCGTTCGCCAGCTGGTTATTGGCCGCGCCGCACGACCGGTGCCCGCAGTTGCGACCGTCTCCACATCCAGCACGCCGCCCAAGGCGCAGGGCGCGAACACGTCCGCCCGGCGCTCAACAAGGCCTTGCTGCTCATGACCATCGCGCCGAACCGGTCGGCGGCACGCGCCGCAACTTCGCTGCGCGGTTCGGCGACGATCAGCTTCGCGCCCATGTCATGCGCAGCAATTCGCACAGCGCGAAGCCGACATGGCCGAGCCCCTTGAACCGCCACCGTCACCTGACAGATCGGCGTCCAGCCGGTACCGCACCGCGACCCGCATCGCGTTCGCCACACCCAGCGCGGTCCGGGGCGAGGGGTCGCCACCCGGTCGACCGTCGCGTAGCGGAAGGCCGGCGACATGGCGCGTCTGGCTCGCCACCACCCTCCATATCCTCGACACTCGTCCCGACATCTCGGCGGTGACATAGCGACCCTTCAGATCGCGCACCGCACGGCCAAAGACGCGGAACAGCGCGGCGCGGTCATGCGGTCGCTCGGGGCTGCGCAGCACCGCCTTGCCGCCGCCAAACGGGCATTCGGCGAGCGCATTCTTCAGCGCCATGCCCTCCGCCAGCCGCAGCGCATCGACCACCGCGTCCTGATCGCCGGCATAGCGCCACAGGCGGCACCGCCGGCCGCCGGCCCCAGTGCCGTCGAGTGCAGGACGATGACCCTGCTCGCCCCGGTCTCGGCATCGCGGAACGGCACCACCTCTTCGGGCGGCAGGCTGTGCGGCCGGGCAATCGCATCGTCTGGTTCCTCAATCTGATGGAGGAATTCAGCGGAGGATGCGAAAAGAAACCGGTCGTAATATAGGAGTGGTGGGCGGATGGGGATAGATCATCCCCGATCGGCTTATGAGGATGATCATGCCGCATGAGCTAGATATATGGGAACGTCGTATTCTCGCTTTGCTGCAAGAGGACGAGTCTGTCGACGGCGGCGATCGCCGAGGTGGTGGGGTTTCCGCCTCGCCCCTGCTGGCGGCGGATCGACCGGCTGGAGCGCGACGGGATCATCAAGCGGCGGTGGCGCTGGTCGATCGGACCAAGATTGGGCTTAAGGCGCAGATTTTCGCGCAGGTGAAGCTGAACGCGCATGGTCGCGCCAATCTCGATAAATTCACCGCTGCGATCCGCGAGGTGCCCGAGGTCATGGAATGCCATGTCTTGATGGGCTCCCCAGTCGATTTCATGCTGCGGATCGTCGCGGCCGATATCGAGTCCGCGAGCGGCTGTTCTTCGAATCGGTTGTCCAACCTGCCCGGCGTGCAGATCAATTCGACGGTCGCTCGTCGGAGATCAAGTCGACGACGTCGTTGCCCATCCCGGATGGGCGCGGGGATAAGGCCGTTCTTCATCCTCCCAGTAAGGGGAGGGCGCTATGCGAATTATCGGGAGGGTGTCGCGGGTCGCGCGCAGAGTCCGTCCGCCGGCGGTGACACCCTCCGCTAGGGCCCTCGAGGCGCGATCTCCCTTACAGGGAGGATGAAGAAGGTTGTCTCGCCGGTGGTGCGCCGATACGGCCCCGAGCGAACAGCAAGAGGCAGGGGCTATGGCACGCTGGCAAGGCTTGGGAGGGCCCGGTTCGGGCTGTTCCTGTTGGTCTGGTTCTCCGCTGCGTGGTTCGGCTCGTGGGAGCTCAACCCCAATAACGCCACCCGCCTGTTCGCCGCGATCCGGATGGTCGAGGATAGCACCGCGACCATCGATCCCTTCGCGCCGCTGACCATCGACAAGGCGCGCAGTTCGGGGCCCATGCCTATCTCGACAAGGCGCCGGGCATGACGCTGATGGCGATGCCGGCGGTGGCGATGACGAATGCGGTGATGGGCGACCGGGCAGATCGGCACATGCCGAGCGCCGCCGACCGGGCTTTTGTCGATTATCTGGAAAGTTGCGGACGCGGGTCGCGGCCGCCACCGATCGGCCCTGTTGACCGCCATCGCGGCAGTGATGCTGTTCGATTCGCCCCGACCGTCCCGGGAGTATCGGGGCGGCGCTGTTTGCGGCGCAGGGTTACGCGCTCGAACGCCGATCTGGGGGCTATTCCACGACGTTGCTGGGCCATGCGGCGGTCGCGGCGCTGTTCGTCATCGCGCTGGCCGGCGTGGCGCGAGGTGGCGGACGCTGGCTGGCGGTAGCCGGGCTGAAAGCGCTGGGCTGGGCGGTGGTGGTCGAGTATCCAGGGCGGTGCCGGCGGGATCGGTCATCGGCGCTCGGGCGCTGTGGCGGCATCGCGCGCGGCCGCGATCGCTTTGGCCATTCCCGCCGCCGGGCTGATCGGCGTGATGCCGCTGTTCGCCTATAATCTTTCGCTTTCGGCACGCCGTTCCGGATCGGCTATTCAGGCGTCGTCGGGTTCGAGGGGATGCAGCAGGGGCTGTTCAGGCTGACCGTGCCGTATATCGCGGTGCTGCGCGAAATCCCTGATCGGCCCGACGCGCGGATCTGGGTCGCACCGGTCCTGATCCCGGCGCCGGTCGGGCTGTGGCATTGGCCGAGGCGCGGGAGACGCGCGGGCTGGCGTTGACCGCCGCCGGGGTGGCGATCGTCGCGTTGCTGGTCAACGCGGCCTATGTCTATTGGGACGGCGGCAATGCCACGGGCCCGCGTCACGCCATGCCGCTGGCCGGGGTGGCGGCACTGGGCTGGCGCCGGTCTGGCGTCACTGCGTCGGGCATGGCAGCGCGCGGCCTCGCCCTCCTGCTGGCGGGATCGATCGCGATCAATCTGACGATCGCGGCGGCCGAGATTTTCGCGCCGCCGGAATATCGCTGGGCCCGGTGGCAAGCGGTGATCCAGCTGCGCTTCCGGGTCGGCGACCTGCGCACCATCCTCCGAATGGTGGGGGTGGTCGACATGAATGGGCGAGATCTATGGGCCGCGGTCGCGATCCCGCTGGCGGCGTGGCTGGTTCAGCGCGCGTGGCGCTTGAGCCCGCGCACCCGGTGCCAGACATAAAAAGCGATCAACGCGACCAGCAGCATCCCGATCGCCGTGTCGGCACGGTGGAAAAAGCTTTTACGCGGGTCCGAATCCCATTTCGCCCAGTTCGCGCCCGACGATCGCCAGCACCAGACAGAAAGGCCAACTGCCGATAAAGGTATAGAGGTGAAAGACGAGCTCATCGCGCCACGCCCCGGAAAGGCGATGAAGGTGCGGATGACCGGCAGCAACCGCCCGATCAGCACCGCGATCGAACCATAGCGTGCGAAGAAGCGATCGGCGGCGTCCAGCTCGCCCGGCCCGATCAATAGATATTTGCCCCAGCGCCCGCCACCGGCCGCCGCCGCTTGCCGATCTCATAGGCAACGACTGAGCCCAGATTGCACCAGCGCGCCCGCCGTCGCGGGCGAGGTAGAGGTTGAACTGACCGGTCGACACCAGATAGCCGGCGAACGGCATGATGATTTCCGAGGGCAGCGGAATGCAGGCGCTCTCGATCGCCATCAGCAGCATGATGCCCAGATAGCCGCCCGTCGAGATGACCCAGATGGCGAAGCTCGCCAGCGCGGAAAGAATATGTTCGACCATGGGCCAGCGACTTGCGCGATCCCCCGGCGGCGGTCAATCGGAACCGCGCGCGAGCGATCGGTTTGGGGACGGCATGACCAAGCTGACCCTGAATGACGGCCGTGCCTGCCCCAATTGGGGCTGGGCACCTATCAAATCCCGGACTCGCAGGTCGCCGCCGTGGTGCGGCGTGGGCCTGATACCGGATACCAATGGTCGACACCGCCGCCATCTATGGCAATGAACGTGGCGTCGGCGATGGGCTTTGCGGCGAAGCTGCGTTCCCTGACCGTTGTGGAATGATCGCCATCGCGATGCCGTGGCGGCGCGCTGGACGAGAGCCCGGCTGGCTGGGTGTCGAGGCGGTCGATCTCCTTCGATCCATTGGCCGGTGCCGGCCGAGGATGGCTATGTCGAGGCATGGCAAAGCCTGATCGCGTTTCGCGAGGCGGGCAAGGCCAAATGATCGGCGTGTCGAATTTCCCGCCCGAGCATCTCGACCGGATCATTGAAGCGACCGGCGTGGTGCCGGCGGTCAACCAGATCGAACTTCATCCGCGTTTTCCAGCAGCGCGAGGCGCGCGCTATCATGAGGCCAAAGGCATCGTGACCCAGAGCTGGAGTCCGCTGGGGCAGGGCGGCGAATTGCTGACCACGCCGGAGATCGTGGCAATTGCTGAAAAGCGACCGCTCGACCGCGCAGGTGGTGCTGGCCCGCATCTGGCGCATGGCCTGTCGGTGATCCCCAAGGCGGCGGATGCAGCGCATATGGCGGACAATTTCGCCGCGACCGAGTTGACGCTGGACGAGGATGATATGGCCGCGATCGATGCGCTGGACGATGTGGACGGGCGGATCGGCCTGATCCGCGGAGATGAGGGGGCTTAGGCTCCCCGAAAATACCCCGTCCGGTCGACAAAGGCGCGGATTATGGCCGCATCATCATAGGGCAGTTCGATCAATGTCTTGACTGCCCCTTTTGTCCCGCGCAGCGTCGTAATAGCGCCGTGCGATCCGATAGCCGACGAAATAGCCGAGATCGCTGACCCCTGAAGGATTCTGCGGCACCGTTCCATAGCCACCGTCGTAATTGTCGCTGGCCATCTCGGCGATGAAGCGCGCCTTGACCTCTGCTTCATGGGCGGGACCATAACGGTAGACCGGCAGTGCGGGTTTGCGGCCGGTTATCCGTTCGGCAACCAGCCCGCCACGCCTTCGCGCAGCGATTGCTGTAGCAGATTGCCTTGCGTCTCCTGCTGCTGGGTATGAACATATTCGTGGATATTATTCTGTGCGTTGTTGGCGAAGGGCGGGACCGGAAGAAGGTCGCCAGTCGTGACCGCATCGGCTCGGGAAGCTCCGACACGTCGACCGTCTCATCGCCCAGAGTGAGTTCGGCCCCGATCAGCACCTTTGTCGGCCATGGTCGTGCCGCCGGTGCGCAGCACGCCGATGGCATAGGTGATCGAGGCGGACGGAGTTCGGGATAAAGCCGCCGGAAACGGGCAACATCGGCGTTCAGCGTCGCCACCGCCGCCGCCCGTGACCGGGCTGTCAGCGGGCGGACCGAAGTCCAGAAATTTGGGCCAGCGGGCGATGGCGTCGACATATTGCTGATCGGTATAGCCGCGCGGCCATCAGGGCATGGAGTCCGGGCGTGCCCGGTTCGATATAGAGTGCGGATCAGGTGCAGCCGTTCCGCAGGATCGTCGGTCGCGTTGATCGCATCGAACGCGATCCAGAAGCGGGCGATGTCGCTGTCGATCACCAATGTCGGCGACGCGGGTGCGATATCGTCTGTGGTACAGGCGCCGCCGCAGCCAAGGCGATGCCGCAGATGGCAGCCCATGCCGTCGCCGCGATGCGAGCCCCTCATGCCTGCTTCCTCCCGATCCGTGACACCGTGCCGGTTCGATGGAGCGGGACTAAAGTCAAGCGACGGGGCGGAGGCTCATCCGAGCGCGTTCGCCGCCAGCTTCAAATCCTCGACGAACCGCGTATATTCGACCTCCTTCGCCGCCGGATCGGGCAGGCGCAGCAGATAGCTGGGGTGGACGGTGATGAAGGCGGTGCCGCCATCGGGCAGGGTCAGCGCTTTGCCGCGTTCGCGACCGATCGTCATGACCTTGCCGAACAGCGACCGCGCTGCCGTGGCGCTGAGCGCGACCGTGACCTTGGGCTGGATCAGCAGGCGCCCTGCTCGACCCACCAGCGGCAGGCTCGGATTTCGCCCGCATTGGGTGAGCTGTGGATGCGGCGTTTGCCGCGTGGCTCGAATTCTGAAAATGCTTGACCGCGTTGGTGACATACGCCGTCGCGCGGTCGATCCCCGCCTCCGCCACTGCACGGTCGAAGACCTGTCCTGCGGGCCGACAAAGGCGGCTGGCCAGATCCTCCCTTGGTCGCCCGGCTGTTCGCCGACGAACATCAGGGAGGCGTCGACCGGACCTTCGCCGAACACCGTCTGCGTCGCGGGGCATGGAGCGGGCAGCGGGTGCAGCCCATCGCTTCGTCACGCAACGCCGCCGCCCGCCGCCTGTGCATTGCCACCGCGCCCGGACCGGACATCCACTTTCGCCGTATCGATCATCCCCGTCTCCCGTGCCTGCGCGCCTGCGATCAGTTGCCAGGGACCAACGCGGTTTCCGGCATGTTTTTCCAGTATTTGCGCGGCATCTCCTTGAGCATCGCGCCGATCTTCACGCGCAGGGTTGAAGATGCTGGCGTAATAGGTCTTCCACACCGCCTCGGTCGGGTCGCCCTCGGGCGCGTCGGCCTTGTTGGCACTGGGGCCCTCGGACAGCGTCTTGCCGTCCCAGTGCAGCGATACTCGGGCGTCAGGATCGACCAGCGCATGATGGTGAAGCGGTTGACGAAGAAGGCCGCATTGGCGCGGACGATGTGATGTTCACTCGAACCAGCGACATAGCGCGGGCCGTCATCATCCTCGGTTTCGCGGAAGGCAGGAAGGCGCGCATCTTTAGGATGTCGCGCCGCACCGCCTTTGGTCAGCCGGTCGAGACGGCGAATCAGCGGATCGGCCTGATCCCCTATCAGTCGGGGTTGTCTGAGCAGCCGGTCGAGCGCGGTGGAGCAGTGCGAAACGTTCGGGATCGTTGGACGAGGATGACGCTGCGTGCAAGGTCGATAAAGGCGCGGGAGACGTTGAAGCGGGGGGCGGCGGTGGTCGTGCTGTCGTCGGCGACCGTGCCGAACAGGTCGTCGGGCTGCTCGCCCACCTGCCACACGACCTGATCGGGGGGCACGCTGTCGGCGATCAGACCGCGCGCTGCGTCGCGCCCGTGCGTCGAAGTCGTCGGGGGGCGGGAGGGTGATGCGCATGGCGCTTCAATCCTCCCCGGTACGGGGAGGTGGCAGGCCGAAGGCCCGGAGGGGGTGTGGCAAAGGTCATCCCTGTGGCTCTTCCCCTCCACCATGCTCCATATGGTCCCCCCCCGTGCCGGGGAGGATTAAGGTCCGTCCAAATCAATCGCGCTCGTCTCCACCGGGCGGGTTGGCCTTGGCTTCCTTCGCCTCGATGGGCTTACGCTCTTCGTAAATCTCGGCCAGCTTTTCCTCCGTCGCGTCGTCGAGCCCTTCTCGGCGGCGGGAACATCTTTCCTCTTCCTCATCGATATGATGTTCATAGCGATGGCGCATATGGAAAGAACTTGACCCATTCGTCCGAGGCGAAGTCGAGGTCCATCATCTCGCCGAGCAGATCGTCGATCTCCTTATGCTCGGACACCGAAATGGCGGGCGTCATCGCGCAGTTCGCTCGCCCAGCATGGTGGCATAAAGTGATTCTTCCTCGGCGGCGGCGTGGCTCTGAATCTCGATGCGGAACGCCTCGAACAGCTTCTGCGCTTGGCGCCGTCACCCTTCAGCTCGGCGAGTTCCTTCAGCATCTCACGCTGCTTGTCGGTCGCGCTTCAGATCGGCATAGATATCGGCGGTGGCCATCGAATCTCCTTCGCGAGGCCCAACGGCGAAGCGCGGCGGGCGTTTCATCCGCGAGTCACTTCACTCGCGAAAAGTTCGAGCTGTTCCCGCTTGGGTTTGACCAAGGGTTTCTGGTCCGCCCGCTCGGCCAGCGCGACCGGGCGCCAGTCCTCGGTGATCAGGAAAGGGCGGAGCTTGGCGATCGACACGGTCAGCCGCCCGACATCCTCCAGCCGCAGCCGCCGCCATTGGCGCGAGGCGATGATCCGATCGACCGCCTTCACCCCCTGTGCCGGGAACGCGCAGCAGCATCTCACGAGGCGCGCGGTTCACGTCCACGGGGGAAATGCTGACGGAATTTCAGCGCCTGTGCGAGCTTGGGATCGATATCGAGCGGCAGCATGCCCGTCGCCCTCATCGGCGGCGGCGGCCACTTCGCGCGGTTGATAGTCGTAGCGCATCAGCCAGTCGGACTGGTACAGCCGATGCTCGCGCATCAGCGGCGGACGTTGCAGCGGCAGCAGCGGCGGGAGGCATCGGGGATCGGGCTGAACGCCGAATAATAGACGCGGCGCAGACGGAAACGATCATAGAGCGTCGCGGCGCGCCCGACGATATCGCGGTCGGTGGCGGCATCGGCGCCGACGATCATCTGGGTCGACTGGCCGCGCAGGCGCGAAGCCGGGGGGCGGATTTGTACTTTGGCCGCGTCCTGCCGATCGTCGATCGCGGTCTTCACATCGGCCATCGCGCCTTCGATGCGGGTGGCGTCCTTTTTCGGGGCGAGGCGTTGAGCTCGCCGACCGTCGGCAGCTCGACATTGATCGACACACGATCGGCATGGACCCCCGCCAGTCGGACCAGTTCGGGATCGGCATCGGGGATCGTCTTCAGGTGTATATAGCCGCGAAAGCCATGATCCTCCCGCAGGGGACCGTGCGACCTCGACGATCTGCTCCATCGTATAGTTGATGATTTGATGATGCCCGAGGAGAGGAATAGCCCTCGATATAATTACGCCGGTAAAAGGCCAGCGTCAGGTTCACCACCTCCTGCGCCGTGAAGCGCGCACGGCGGACATTGGAGGACTTGCGATTGATGCAATAATGGCAGTCGAAGATGCAGCTATTGGTCAGCAGGATCTTCAACAGCGAGATGCAGCGGCCATCGGGCGCATAGGCGTGGCAGATCCCCATCCCCTCGGTCGATCCGATCCCCTTGCCGTCGCGGCTGTTGCGTTTGGACGTGCCCGAAGAGGCGCAGGATGCGTCATATTTCGCGGCATCGGCCAGATCGCCAGCTTCTCACGGTATCGAGTTGCGCCATTTGTTCGATATACGTTCTCATGTGCGCAGCGACAAGCGGAACCCCCGCCGGTCATCGACCGTACAGACCATCTGATCTATCGCGCGGGCGTTTCGAGGGGAGACGGGTGATGCGGAAGGTGATGATCGCGCTGGCTCTGGTCGGGGCCAGTGGTCCGGTGACGGCGCAGGGCGTGTCGACCAAGACGACGACCGTCGACTATGAATTCGGCTATAGTTATCCCGCCGCCGCCGCGCGCATTCCGGTATGAAATCTCGGCTGGAGGCCGAGAAGGCGCGCATCCGCTCAAAGACAGCGCGGGACGGAGCCGCCGGGCGGCGCGAGGCGGCAAAGTCCGGCTATCCCTATCGCCGCTATTCCTATGAAAAGACGTGGAAGCTGGTGACGGACACGCCGCGCTTCCTCAGCCTGTCGGGCGAGAGTTGGTGACTATACCGGCGGCGCACACGGCCAGCCGGCATCCTCGACGGTGCTGTGGGACAAGAAGGCCGGGCGTGCCTTGGCCTCCAAGGCGATTTTCGCTTCTGCCCCGCGCTTCAGGCCGCGATCCGTACCGATTATTGCGGCAAGCTCAAGATCGAGCAGCGGCGGCGCAATGCGGGCGATGTGTCGTCGATGAACATCTGCCCGCCGGTCAAGGACCTCACCGTGCTGTTGGGGTCCACCAATGGCCGCGCGATCGACCGCATCGGCCTGATCGCCGATCCCTATGTCGCCGGCTCCTATGCCGAGGGATTTTACGAAGTGACCCTGCCCGTGACGCGGGCGATCGTCGCGGCGGTGAAGCCGGAATATCGCAACAGTTTCGCTGTGCGGTCGTGAAACCTCCCCATCGCGAGCGACATCGGATCGACCGTGCGGGATGGCTGCGCGCGTCGGTGCTCGGCGCCAATGCCGGCCTGTCGTCGACCGCCAGTCTGGCGTCGGCGTGACGGCCAGTGGCGCGCATCGTGTTCCGCGATCCCCGTGCCGCACGGTGCGGCTCTGTGGGGATCGTGGCGGGCGTGTTGGCCTGTCTGGCCGCACTCGGTGCAGTCAGCGCGATCGCGGGCGGGGCCAATCCGTCAAATGGTTCCATCCTCGTCCTGATCTGGGGGCACTGGCGATGTCGGCGACGGCGGCGATCGGGCATCTCGCGGGAAGGGCGTTGTAGGAAGCGAATGATGAATGCGATGAAGCAGCGTTTCGCTGGCCAGTGCCATTGCGGAAAAGTGCTTTTCGAAGCGACGCTGAGCGACGGTTTCCGCACGGTGCGCCGTTGCACATGTTCCTATTGCCGGATGCGGGGCGCTGTTGCCGTTTCGGCGGACATGGGCGGTGTCGTCGTCACCCGTGGAGAGGAATTTCACCAGCTATCGCTTCAACACGGTTCAGGCCGAGCATTTCTTCTGTTCGTGCTGCGGTATCTACACCCATCATCAAAGGCGCTCGAACCGGAACCAATATGGCGTCAACGTCGCTTGCACGAGGGTGTATCACCGTTCGACTTTCCCTGAGGTGCCGGTGAATGACGGCATCAACCATCCGAGTGATGGGCCAAATTGCCCGCGCGACAGGTCGGCATCCTGCTCTTCGTCCCGGACGAACGATGCGTTTTGAGAGGGGGCGACCCATTCCTCTGCTGGAAGGGAAGGGATAAGGCTTAGCCAATCCCGCCGTCGCCCGCGCCCCTTGGTCATGGATCGGGCTTTTGGGCGGTACCCAGCCCACCGGGCGTTCGGGGCGGGATTGGCTGGTGCCCAGTCCCATGGCGCCTGGCCGCTGGCGGGTCAGGCCGCTGGTGTCGACCTCGGCATCCGCCGCGCCGCCACCGCGGAGCAGGTTGATCCGGTCGCGCAGGGCCCGCGCCTCCTCGAAATCGAGGGCGTTCGGCGGCCGCCTCCATCTGGCGGCGCAACTTCGATATCGGGTCCGGTCATGCCGAGACAAACGCCTCAGGCGGCGATGCGTGCCGCCCGGTCTCCGCGATCCAGCCGCCGCCCAGCACCCGGTCGCCGTCGTACAGCACCGCCGCCTGCCCGCGACACGCCATATTCGGGTGCATCGAAGACCAGCCGGTCGCCGACCATGCGCGCCGGAACCGGCTTGGCCATCGAGCGGACCTTGGCGAAGAGCGGGCCGTCCAGCGGTCCCAATATCATTCATGCCCGTCAGCCGCGCCACCTCGACCGCCAGCGCGGTGCGCGGGCCCGACGACGACGCGCTTGGTGTCGGCCCAGCCGACGACATAGAGCGGCTCGGGGCTGCCGCCGATCTCCAGCCCGCGCCGCTGGCCCACCGTAGTGAATCAGCCCGCGATGCTCGCCCAGCTTGGCACCGGACAGGTCGATGATGTCGCCCCGTATCCGCTTCCGGACGTAATTTTTGACGAGGCCCGCATAGTCGCCATCGGGGACGAAGCAGATATCCGGCCGTCGGGCTTGGCCGCGACGCTCAAGGACAGTTCGTGGCGATCTCGCGCACCCGCGACTTGGGCAGCGCGCCGAGCGGAAGCGCAGGAAGTTCAACTGCTCCCGGGTGGTGGCGAACAGGAAATAGCTCTGGTCGCGCGCCGGATCGGCCCCACGATGCAGTTCCGCGCCGTGCGTGCCCTCGACCCGGCGAACATAATGGCCGGTCGCCGGGCAGTCGGCGCCCGGTGTCGCGCGCCAGCTTCAGCAGGTCGGTGGTGGGCCCATATTGCACTGGACGCATGGGATCGGCGTGCGCCCGGCGAGATATTCATCGGCGAAGCGGTCGACCACCGGGGTCCGAAAACTGTCTTCATGATCAAAGACATAGTGGGCGATGCCCAGCCAGTCGCACACCGCGCGCGCGTCGCGAATGTCGCGGCCGGCGCAGCAGGCCCCGGCGCGGCCTACCGCCTCGCCATGGTCATAGAGTTGCAGGGTGACGCCGATCGTCTCGGCCCCCCGTCGAGGGCGAGGGCGGCGACGACCGAGCTGTCGACCCCGCCCGACATCGCCACCACGATCCGCTTGGCCTGGGATCGCCCCCAAGCTGAAAATCCACCATCTGCTCCATGGCCGTCCCCATACGCCTTTCGGATGGGCCATGCAAAAATGCGCTTTGACGAGACGGGTGGGGATAGCCGTCCTTCAAAAAAAGGGAAGAGTTCACGACCTTTACCGTGTTTTTCATATCCGACCAATATGCAGGGACCTGACCAGATAGATGGATTGCGCTTTTGGACCTCAGTTTCAACCGGTTTCGATCGGGATACCGAACTCACCGTGTTGCCGCCCGATCTGGCGGTGCTGATGGTCGGGTTACTTGCGCGCCAGGGCAGCCAGCCTGACCGCCGCAGTGGCGAGCCTGATGCGCGCTGCCCCGATCCGGCCCCTTTTTCGCGCCGCTCGACGGTGCGTTCAACGGCCCCATGGCGCGGGCCTTGACGCAGTGGAGGGCGAGTGAATAGCGAGTGAATGGTGTGTTAACCGCACGGCTATGGTGATGTTTCAAAGGCCCGTGTTCAAAAGGCCCCGTAAACGATATGGGGTAGGGGAGCCCGACGAGGTTTATGATGATCGAGAACCAGAAGATCCGTCCTGCGAAGGTAATCGGGCCGCTCGGCGAACCGCTGACGCTCGAAAACCCGCCGCCCAGCACGACGCGCTGGGTCGTCCGTCGCAAAGCGGAGGTGGTGGCGGCCGTCAATGGCGGTCTGCTCTCGGTGGATGAGGTGCGTGCGATCGCTATGGCCTGACGGTCGAGGAGTTCGCCGGATGGCAGCGCGCGATCGATCGTTCGGGCATGCCCGGCCTGCGCGTTACCCGTATCCAGCATTACCGTTCGCTCTACGAACGCCAGCAGAAATATTGACAAATCGAACAACTCGTCAGAATCGACGGTACGGGGACGGAACAATAAAGCCCATTCGCACGTCTTCTCCCAGCGTCCCGCCTGCGGGCCCAACGGAGGGAAAGACAATGGGTATTATCCTGTGGCTTATCATCGGTGGTGTCATCGGCTGGCTGGCCAGCATCATCACGCGTACCGATGCCCAGCAGGGCATCTTCCTGAACATCGTCGTCGGTATCGTCGGCGCGTTCATCGGCGGACTGATCTTTGCTGGCGGCTCGATCAACAATGCCGGTCTGTCGCTGTATTCGTTCCTCGTTTCGCTGCTGGGCGCTGTCGTCCTGCTGGCGATCGTGAACGTCGTTCGTCGCGGTCGGGTGCGCTAAGTCGCACACGCCTGACGAAGAAACAAAAGGCCGTCCGGGCGACCGGGCGGCCTTTTTTCGTGTTCGGGTTTGTCGGTGAGGCCGCGTAGCGAGGGGAAACGTCTTCGCGGTGGCTCCGCATTGCTTCGCGATGCTTGCCATGACGGTGGATGCTTCTGGCTTGACCGGAAGCCAAGGTCGCTATCTCAATCCTGCCCTGTCGTCGGGGGAACCGCCCCATGCCGTATAGGCGATGGGGGCGGGATGGGATCAGCCCAGCAGGAAGCGGACCGAGACGTTGACCGTCACGTCGCGTTCGCCGGGGCGATCTTGGTCTGCGGCATGGCGTCGGCGGCCATCGCGCGCAGCATCATCGGGCGTTCGGGGCCGCCGGCATTCTCGCCATTCTCGGAGATCGACACGATGCGCAACACCCGCATGCCCGCCGCCTTGGCATAGAGTTCGGCACGAGCCCGGGCGCGCTTCACCGCGTCGGCCCGGGCTTCGTCGAGCGCGGCGTCCGGATTGTCGAGCGACAAATTGGGGCCGTCGATCTGATTGGCCCCTGCGCGACCACAGCGCGTCGAGCACGCGCCCGACTTGGCTATGTCGCGGAAGCGGATGCTCAGCGTGTTGGTCGCCTGATAGCCCGTGATCACGGGCGGCATTCTCGCCATAGCGATATTGCGGCTGAAGCTGAACGGTCGCGGTCTGATGTCGCGATCGGCGACGCCGGCGCGCTTCACGGCGGCCAGCACCCGCCAGCATCCTTGCGGCATTGTCGGACAGCGCGGCGGCGGCGGTCGGCCCTCGCCGACCACGCCGGCGCGGATCGTCGCCGTGTCCGGGACCCGGGTGGTGCGGCCCTCGGCTGAAACGTCCAGCACGGTGCCGACGGCGGGATCAGCG